AAAAATGACAACACCATGTAAATTGATTCATTTATGCAGTATTATACCAAACAAATTACCAAAGAATTGCTTTATTAAGCTAAAACAAAAAACAACAAAATTCATGGGGAGGAAAAAAAGATCAATACTATCAAATCAATGAATCAATGTGAAAAAATGTGAAGGTTGAGGGCCTCTAACAGTACAGATCTTAAACTATATTACAATGTGGCAATCATCAAATCAGTTTGGTACTTGTTAAGAAGTAGAGTGGCTGATCAATGGAATAGATTAGGTACATCATAAACAGAAGCAAATGAACACATTAGGTACATGATGAACAGAAGCAAATGATCTTGGTAGGCTTGTGTTTGGTAAACTCAAAGATCCCAGCTACTGCATCAAGAGCTTACTGTATTTCACAAAAACTGAAGGGAAAATTATAAAATACTCTGGCAGAAACTAGATATATGCCAACATCTCCTGCCATGTGCCAAGAACTCAAAATGGGTACACAATTTAGATATAAAGGGTGATAATTAGGAGCCGACAGAACAAATAACCTGTTACTTCTAGGGAAAGGGGAAGAAGTTTAGAACCAAACAAGGACAGAGAAGTTTACAGGAAGTAAAGTGGATAATTTTGATTACATAAAATTAAAAAGGTTTCTGTACAAAGAAAACTACTGAAGCCAAAATTAGAAGAAAAGCAGAAAATGGGGGGAAATTTATTAAAAAGTTATCTGACAAAAGTCTTATTTCTCAAAAATCTAGCAATATTCTAAACACAATCAACTGTGAAAGATTTAGTAGCTCTCATCATTACAATGATTCATCACAACTCCAAAGGACTCATGGTATAAAATGTTATCTATGTCTAGATAGAAAAGTGATGGATTAACAGCATAAATTTAAGCATATTTTTCTCTTTTTAATTTTTTCTAAAAGAAGATAGGTAATACAGAAATCTCTATCATGATTTTATATGTATAATGAATATTGAATTCCTTGCCTCTCCAAATGGTTGGGGAGAACTGAAAAAGAAAACTTAGAACTGAAAATAAAAATAATTTTTAATAAAGTTATCAGTATCAAAAAGAAATAGGCATTTTCTTATTGACAAAGTTTTCGAAGGCCATCCAACATTTGTGGAAAGGATGACTGTACTTGAAGTACTAGGACAGTTTAATCAGTAATGGCATTTTTTCAGTCCTTAACTTCTATGGTTTCCAACTATTTTTGCCATTGGATCAGAGGAACAAAGACTTTATGGCTAGAAGGGAATTTAGAAAATTATCTAGTCTGATCCCCTAAGTTAACACGTATTTGAAAGATATAGGCTCTTTAAAGCTCTTTATCACTCTGACGCACTAACATTTGACTCTATCCAAAGTGAGCTGGCTTTCCACTAAAATCCTACAGCATTTCTATATATGCACCACACAGCTGCAGGGAAATTCTTTAACTAAATTCTCCATTTCTTTTATATTTCCTTCTTTTCATTCCTTACATTGGTTAACAACCCTTTTCCCCTTTTAGGCCTCCAAATCGATCCCTGCACCACTTATGCTGATTTTGCTTTTCCATTTACTTAAATGGAGGCTACCCTCATTGGATGTTCTTCTTCACTATTCCTCCACATCTAAAACTTTATCATAGTATTGACCATTCTCTCCAACTTTCCAAGATTAAATCTCTATCTAGGCTCCTATGATCAAGTGATGTGATCAGGTGATTGATTCTTCCATCAATCATCTCCTTTTTCTCTTTCACTCTACATTTCTTCTACTTCCCTAGATCGTTCCACTGAGTTACCCATTTCATCTAAATCATCTCTTCTGCTCTTTATTAACAAACTCTTAGAACAGTTAGCCCACATGAACTGTCTTGGCTTCTTCAGTGGTCTCTGCTTCTTCACTTTCCACTACTTCCTCAATTCCTTGCAATCACACTTTTTTCTCCATTGTTCAACTATGCTGATCTTTCCATGGCCAGAAAAGATTTCCAAGTCTATTTTATTTTATTTTATTTTATTTTATTTTATTTCATTTTATTTTTTGGCTAGGCAATGGGGTTAAGTGACTTGCCCAGGGTCACACTGCTAGTAAGTAGTATGTGTCTGAGCCCGGATTTGGACTCACGTCCTTCTGAATCCAGGGCCGGTGCTCTATCCACTGCGCCACCTAGCTCCCCTCCAAGTCTATTTTAAAAAGTATTTTGAATTTTATTTTATTTTATTTTTAGCTCTGAATTCTCTCCCTCATACCTTTCCTTTCCCTCCACCAAAAAAGCAAGAAAAACAAAACCCTCCAAACATGCACAAGACAGCAAAAGAAATTCCTAAATTAGCCATGTCTCCTTATTTCCACACCCTGGAAAAAGAAAAGAAATGAAAAAGCTCTAATTTGCACCCTGAATCCATCAGCCCTCTATCTGGAGGTGGGCAGCATGTTTCATCATGAGTCCTCTGATCATGAGTCCTCTGGAATTGTGGTCGGTCTTTTTGCTGATCAAAGTATCTAAATTTTTCTAAGTTGTTCATCTTTATAATATTCCTGTTAGAGAATAAACATAAATATCCTGTTTCTGCTCACTTTGCTTTGCATGTGTTCATAAAAAAGACTCCTTAATTTCTTGACGTAATGGACCTTTTTCAGTTCTTAATCACTTTCATTACTTCATTGATTTCTTGGCTTTGACTGGTTTCTTGTATTTATGAAATCTATGTTGCAAGGAATTGCAATCAGCAAAACCTTCTGACCAGCTTTTCCAAACATTCAAGCACCCCTATTTGAAGGAACTCAAAGGTACAGAGTGGGATTAATGGGAAATTCCAGTGGCCAGTGAAATTTACACCAGAATGAAAAATACATCAGGAGAATTCACTCTGTTCTACTAACCAGATCTTGGGCCTCCTCTGGAGGCTCCGAACTTATGTTATTATTATGTTACTATTTCGACAAATCTTTCATCAAGAAGACTTTGAACCAAAGGGTTTTTTTCCTAAGTAAATCATTCATTCAGTGTTCATAGCAAAAACAAGTCACTCTGAAGAAGATATCTAGACCTAGAGGTAACTAGGTGGTGCAGTGGATGGAGTGTTGGCTTTGAAGACAGGAAGACTCATCTTCCTGAGTTCAGCTCTGGTCCCAGACACTTATTAGTTGTATGACCCTGGACAAGTCACTTAACCCTGCTTGCCTCAGTTTCTCATTTGTAAAATGACCTGGAGTAGGAAGTGGTAAACCACTCCAGTATCTCTGCCAAGAAACCTCCAAATGGGGTCACAAAGAGTCAGAAACAACTAAACAACAACAACAAACTAGAACACGCCTGCAGGCCGCTTGCAGCCCACCAAAGCATTTTGGGCAGTCTGCTAAAACTGTGGAGGAAGATACAACAAGTGATTTGTCCATGCCGCACTTCACCCTTGTTTCACTAGTCACTCTGTGCCAGTCATACAACTTGGCGGGTGGGTTGCCACTGTGCCCTCTCTTTTCTCACATGACCTGTAACAACAAATCCTCCTCATTCTGTCTCTAGTCTGAAAGGAGCAAGAGTGGTATTTTTTTTCTTTTTTGCTGTGTTTTTGGTTGTTACTGGCATTGAACAGGGACAAAGTGAGTGCAGCTAAGCGCCAATCCCGCTGATGCCTGCTGTGGGATGATTGCCAACAACAGGAGGGCTTCTTCCCCTCCCTCGCTGTGTGGCCACCCTTCAAGGTACAGGAGGGTCTGGAGCTCTCTCCAAGGTCAGACACTCAGTTCAGTATTTTTTTTTGTATATGAGCAGTTGCTCTGGAGGTTTTTTGGTTCTAACAGTAGAGTTTTGGGGATGTTTTTGTAAAATGAGTGATAAAAAGAAACAGAAGATCAAATCGAGCATAGAGTGTTTAATCCAGAGTGGATTGATACATGCTTCTTTACTTACAAGAGAAATATTTTGCCTTGTTTGCCAAGAAGTAATAGCCATTCCGAAGGAATACAATCTTCATTACTATTTCTAATCAAAACACCCTGATTTAAGTAAATTGGACACCAATGAAAAACAAATTAAAGTGTCCAAATGATTGAAAAATCTCAGTGGGGAACAATGGTTGTTCAAGAAAGGAAACTCAGAAAATGAGGCAGCTACTAAGGGTAGTTTTCAGATTTCTTTTCAAACAGGATTCTGGAGTATGAAAAAGTGATTGCTGACAAGAAGTGTAAGACATCCCATTAACTGAATGTAAACAGTAAGAAAACATGAAAAATGTATTAAAACTTGCACCGCTTAGCAAAGTAATTTTTTAACATTAATGTGATTTCATGATGAATACAAATGAAAAGTAAAAATTGTAATTAATTGATATTAGTTAAAATTTCCCTTTCCTTTCATATGGTTTATTTGCAAACTAGTTTAATCAATAATTATACCATTACCTGGAAAGTGAGCCACTAAATACCTATCTTCACCCCGGAGAAGTTTACTCTATTTTAATTTTGGCCTCTACCTACTGCCAAGTTTGGCAGGTGTGATCTAGACCTTGGGAATTTCTATTCAGAATCTATGGAGAGAGGTAAGGGAAAAGGGTGTGACTACAGGGAAAACTCCACCCAAAACCAAGTCTTTATAGGTAAAGACCCCCATGGTATGGGAGGATTCTACTCCACCCCTCTGTGAAGAGATGAGGGCATAGAAAGGAATTTGTTGTTGTTTTGACATTTGGGGTTTTCTTGAGAAAGATATGACTATGCTTTCCAGAATGCCCCTGCTGGTTACAACAGGAAAGTGGCTAGAACAAGCATTTGGTCCATCTCTTATCCTAGTTCAGTAAAGTCATTGGGGAAGAATCCCAGAAACAGGGAGTTGGGGTTACTCCCAATAACTAGCTACAGTGGAGTCCTGGAAAGACAACTGGATACATAGTCAGAGAACCTGGGTCAAAATCCTGGCTCTTCTATATACTTTTCCTGTGTCCATAGGAAAGGCTGCAACTTCTCTGGCCCTCAGTTTCCTCATCTAACAAATAAATGGATTGGGTTAGATGTTCCCTAAAGTTGTCTTCTTGTTCTGGGATCCTGTCAGGAGAGTACAAATTTTGAACAGGAAGAGAAATTTCGTTTGCAGTGAGAGAGCTTGAAGAAAGCAGGCAAGAGATAACCAGGTTCAGGGATCATGAAGGCCTTAGAACTTACAGGCTTGTGCCACATTACTTTCAGAGACAGGCTCAGATGCAGGCTGATGGAAGAAGCAATTTTTACACCAAAGATAGAACCAGCCATAATAGTTGCTAATGATTTACTTCAGAAAAAGTCCGCAGGACACAGAAGAATGCACCAAAAATAAGTGAAAAGGCAGCAGCCAGAATTACTGAAATGTACCTGACTGCAGATCAACACAGGAAGGCCTGAAGCATGGGGAAGACCTTTAAGGGCCTGGCACTGAAGGTTCTTATTTAACAAGGTGTAGCTAAAAAGGTCCAGGACTTCAACAGATTTGGTTAGCATGTATGAATCCCTGCTGAACGTGTTAAACAGTGCTGCACCAAGCACAGATCCCTGTGTCACTCTTCTGAAGAATTCTTTGAAAGATGTCTTGAAACATGGACGGCTAGGTGGTGCAGTGGATAGAGCACTGGCCCTGAAGTCAGGAGGACGGGGGTTCAAATCTGGTCTCACACCAAACACTTCACACTTACTAGCTGTGTGACCCTGGGCAAGTCACTTAACCCCAATTGCCTTAAAAAAAAAAGATGTCTTGAAACAATCAAATTTGTTCACTTCTTTCCATTTCAAGTAGGTTTCTCTTTGACAGAGATCACTTGTCCAGATCACTCAGGTGCTAAGTGCCTGTTGTCTAGGTACCTCATGAAACCTTTATATTCACTCTTCATACTGACCTGTCCCTCTTCTAAATGCCTACAGCACTTGCATGAATACCCTACATAACCACGGGGAAATCATTTTATTAATTTCTTTTGTATACCTTTTTTCTTTCCCCATTTGGTTCCAAACTTCCACCCCCCCCCCAAGCCTCCAAATCTATATCCTCATCATGCTCATCTTACTTTTTTATTTATTTAAATTAAAGATACTTGTTTTCAGCTTTCTAAACTCTTTTCCTCCACACCTGAAAAGTGTACCTTATCATTTCCCTTTGCCTCCAACTGCCCAAGATTAAACCTTCCTACCTGCCTTTGAGACTACCCTCTCTGACCTCTAGGATGTTTCATCAAACACCTCTTTTCCTTTCATTTTCCATTTCTTCTACTTTACTAGATCTTTCAACGATTACCCATTTCATCTATTGCTTCTCTTTTTCTACTTTTTATTAATAAACTCTTAGAATGCTTAGCCCACACAAGCTCTCTGCCTTGTCTCCTACCATTTCATCCTCAACTCCTTGAAATCTGACTTCTTTCTCCAAAGTTCAACTGAAGCTGGTCTCTCCACTGTCCCTAATCTTTACAGGTTATGGTGCTTTTCTCAGGCTAAGACTGAAAAGTCAAACTCTTGGTGCTTCTCTGATTGCTTGGCGTGGACTGGACACTTCTATCTCTGGACTCTACGTTTTCAGATCCCGCAATCATCAAAATCATTTGACAAGCTTCACCCGGCACTCAAGCACCCCCACTGGAAGTGCCACCTGCTAGTTACAATGAGAAAGTGACTAGAAAAGCCATTTGCTGCATGGCATTTCTCTTCCAGATGTCAGCACAGAAAGAAGCAGCTAATGTTCTAGTAGCAGTCAGAGCGGTGTTCTAAAAAGACCACTGGATTTATAGTCAGAGAAGCTGGGTCAAAATCCTAACTCTGCTATGTAGCAATCCTACGATTTTTTATTTAGTTGTTTCTCACTGATCTGTAGGTTTTCTTGTCAAAGATACTGAAGTGGTTTGCCATTTACTTCTCCAGTTCATTTTACTGATGAGGAAACTAAGGCACATAGGTTTAAGTGACCTGCGCAGGGTCGGATAGTAAGTGTCCAAAGCCAGATTTGAGGAAAAGGATTCTTCCTAACTCCAGGCCAGGCCCTCTATACACTGTGCCCCCTAGCTTCCCCTGTGACCTTAAGAGAGACTATGACCTCTTAGTTATGCCTTAGTTTCCTCATTTGTAAAATGAGAACATTGGGCTAGATGGTTTTAATATTTTGGTAAACATTTCTCAATTATAATTTTTTTCCTTTACAGGAATTTTATAGAACTTGGGACCATGAGTTTGACACCTCTACTCTGGGCAGCTCTCTAGGACTATAAATTACTGAGAAGTCTCCAATCAGCTTTGGTGGAGGGTGTAAGACTTACAAAGCACTTTCCTCCTGGTAAGACTATGAGGGGAATGATAATCATTATCTCAACATCTTTATGCAGCACCTTGAAACTTACTAATTCCCTTTTCTATAACTTACAAGGTAGATATAAAATATCTCTTATATTTATTATTCTCCATCTCTCAGCTCTGGGCATTTTCTCTGGCTCTCCTCCATGCCTGGAATGTTCTTGCCCCCATCTCTGCCCACTAGCTTCCCTGTCTTCCTTTCAGTCGCAACTAAAGTCTGATCTTCCACAGGAAACCTTTTCCAAGGCTTCTTACTCCTACCTCCTTTCATCTCTTAATGGTTTTGCATTTCTTCCTATACACAGCTTGTTTGTACATCTTTGTTGGCTTGTTGTCTCTTCCATTAGATTGTGAGTGTTTTGAAGGCAGGGACTGACTTGTTGCTACTTTTTGTATCCCCATTAATTATTGCAGTGCCTGGTAGAGAGTAGGCATTTAATAAATGTTAAGACTGACTGACTAATTTATAGATGCAGGCCCAAAGGGGTTAAGTGTCCAAGGTCACACACCTAGAGAATGACGCAGCCAGGATTTCCTGGACCCTATGTCTAACATGCTTTTCATCATACTACACAGCTGTTTAATGTAAAGCAGACTTGACTCAATTTACCAGAAAGAATATATATGTATTTGGCAGCTACATAGCAGAGGAGATACAGCACTGCACTTGAAGTCAGGAATAACTGTGTTTAAACCTTACCTTAGGCAATTATTGTGTCATACCAGAAAGATAATCAATATAATAACAGCACCAATCTCCCAGAGCATTAGGAAAATAGAATGTGAGAATACGAAGTTCTTTGCAAAACTTAAAAGATGATATACATGTTAACTATTAGAGACTGTGTAATTTTCTGGAATTAAGAGAGACAAATATGTACATAATATTAACTCTGTCATATGATTATTCCTAGATGGGGCTCTATACTTTGCACTTTCTAGGTGGCTATTTACCTTGGCTACTCTCAATCCCAGTTCTGGTTTAGAAATCTGATCACCTTGGCAAGGTGACTCTGGCTCTGATAAACTATATGAACCAGGAAGACTGGGACTCCTAATTGCAGTGGCTAAATCTGGACAAAAGGCTTCACCAGGAATAACAGTTAAATGAGAAGGATTAACATCTAGTCCTCCTATATCTCTGCATGGAAGACTTGGATCAACCTGAAAGTCTGTGACACCTTTAACCTTTTTCTGTTTTTGTTATTTTCAATCCCTGCCTGGGGTTAATTGTAATAAAAATAAAATAAAAATCCAAAGAAGGGTTGAATAGTGATTTCAGAGAGCTGAGTAGGAGTGAAAAGAACAGAAGCTGCCCCAGTCATTTGAGCCTATCAACTAGACTACCATGAATGCATTTACATGTTGTCTCCCTCCTTAACATGTAAGATTTTTAACTGGTGGGAATTTCAGGTATTTTTTTTAAAAAAATTCTTTCTTTGTATTCTTAGCACTTACCACAATGCCAAACTTATTATTGGTCTTTAATAAATGCCTATTAATTGATTGATTTTTCTTGTTACTTGCAATATAGTAGCAGAGAAGTTTGCTGTTGCTCTTATTGCTGCTAGCTTATTAATGGCAACAATATAAGGTAATGGACCTAGACCTAGGAAGATCAGATTTTCAAAAACCCTCAAGCTCTAGCTATATTACCCTAGACAAGTAATTGTTAGTCTGCTTCATTTTCCTCATCTGTAAAATGGGGATAATGACAACATCTACATCTCAGGATTGTTGTGAAGACAGAATAAGCTATTTGTAATAGCTTTAAAATGTCTTATTACTATGAGACAGAAAATGAAAACAGTTTAATTAGTGTTCTAAAGCTGGTGCTTTAAGGGTTCAGAAGAAGCAGAGATTACTTCCTTGTGGAGGAATCAGGGTAAATTCATTGGAAACAGTAGCTTTTGAAGTCATTCTCCTGCTATCTCTTCTCAATTCCTCACTCCAGCAACCATTCTCTCTGGCTTATATATCTTTAATTTTTCACTCCTCTCTTTGCAAGGAATCTGTGTAAGTACATAAGGACCAAGAGTCTTAACCTTTTTGTGTCATGGGCCTTTACCAGTCTGGTGAAACCTATGGCCCCCATCTCAGAACAATGTATTCAAATGCATAAAATAAAATACATAACATTACAAAGAAAAATTATATGGAAATACAGCTATGTATGTACATATGTACATGTGCTTACATCTATCTATCCGTCTCTCAGTCTGTCTCTCTATCAAATCTATTCTGCTCTAATATTCTCCAAGACTCTTCTCTTTCCTTCTTTATTTGCCTGAAACATGGAATTGCAAGTCTGTTTTGTAAAGGCAGACTTATACTCAGAGTGCTGAGCTTCTAGAGACCTTAAGCAAGTCATTTAAGCTCTGTCCGAATCCCTTGATTCTCTAGGACTTATCTACTAAACCACAGACAAATGGTTAACAGTGAAAAGAGTTCCTACCAATGTCAACTCCTCATCAAGAAAAATTTTGCCCTCACAGCTAATGAATCTGCTATCTTCCATCTTACCTTCCACACCCACAGCCCCACATTTCTCTGCTGAATGGAGAGAGATCTAATTCCTTATCAGAGCTCCTGAAAGGAAACCAGTCATCATAACAAATCAGGGTACTATAGGCTTTTTTGTGTTGTTATCTATTGTGTTATTAGAGTCATTATTTTCTAGAATGGTTGGACAAATTTACAGTTCCTTTTGAACTGTGTTAGCTTCCCTAACATCCCAAATCACCTGCAACATGAACTCTGTCACTGTGTGTCAGCCTTGCCCATCTAATTGGCTATGAGGTGAATGCTCAAAGTTGTTTTTCAAAGTTTCTATTTCTCTTATTATTTAATGACTTAAAGAAGATAGTGAGGAAGGCAAAAGACCAGAAAGTAAGAAAGGTTAAGTTCTCACCTTTGCATGTAAGATCTTCAGGAAAATGAAGATTTCTGTAATTACTAACCTTTGTCCTTTGAAACCATGGCAGTAGTTAGGAATAAAAATCTTTTAAAAAAAAAGCTAAAGAAGTTTTCTGTGCTGACTTCAGAGGTCTAGGTTGTTGAAATCAAAAGGAGGAAATAAATATTCTCTTGTCTGGTATAGGCAAAGCTCAATGGAAAGGAATTCTAGGTTACAAGAAGACCTTGTTGGCAGTAAAGAATTAATTGGGAGATCCAGTCACCCAAGACATAAGATTTGCTGGTAGACACAAATTAGAAACATAGGATTATAGGATCACAAGGCAAGATACTCAGGGGTCACAAAAATGGATCAGGAGTTAAAAAACATGATCAACACATCATGATAAGAAAAATGATTTAAATCAATGATTTCTAATGAATATCATTTGTTCTATATTGCTGCATGATTATTTGTTATTGAAATGGTAGCCCAGTCATTCTAGAGATGCTATATTGAAGGCAATTTTCTTTATACTTTCTACACACCTGCTTCTTTATACTAAAAATGTCTTTGCTTGAACCTTTCCCAGTCTGTCTATGATCAACAAAGGAGAAAATCTTAAGCTAGTGTAGTAAAGTCCATGATAATCAACTTGGCAGACAAAACTGAATGTAGAATGACTGAGTCCAAAACACTCCTGAAAACAACCCATCTTACCTAATGCTTCACTGTATAAGTGCTCCCACTTTTTCTGGAATGAATGGAACCAGAAGTAGTCAAAGAAAAGAAACTGTAGCATATTCTCCACCCTTTCCATGAAGGTCATCTTGTCAGTCAGCCTGCTCAGGGGCACAGGCACATAGGAAAGAGGAGAAGGAAGTCCCCCACAGCGTTTCTCATAGGCATTCCCCTTGCTAAACCGAGGCTATTTATGAAAGGGATTTCAAGAGTCTCAGCTATCAGATCTCCACATGGAAATGCAGTATCTGCAAACAGCACATCCTAGCCAGTTTTTTGCAGTTTTTCCGTGAGTGTCTGATTGAAGACTATATTTTCACACTTTAATTTTGCATTAGGAATTAATTGGTTGAAAAATTCATGAAATGCCCACAGTCTTTCCCAGTGTGGAAAACTGGGGGTTTTTTTGTTAATCATCTCCCTCAAAGACGTATCAAATGAGCTTGACATTTTTTCTTTTGTGTATGGTACAGGATAAACCTCGTAGTTCAGCCCTGAAGAGTCTGTGGGATCAATGAGAAGTGTAGGAGAAGGCACTAACACAGTCACCATGTGACCCCTTTGTACCAGCTCATCAAGAATTGTCTTCATATTAATCCAGTGGCTAAAATCCACTGGCCACACCAGGACTTTCCCACAGGACCCACATCCAAAGCAGCAAAGCTGCAGCAGCAAAATAGACACCCACTTTTCAGGCACAGTGCCTTGGCCTGATGCCTTCTGATACACTACTGCTCTTTGTGCCTGCCGGATGAAGACACACAGGCAAGCCAAGGGACAAGTTGAAGATTAATTTCCAAAAGAAGTTCTTGCCAATCATACTTCTAGCCCAACCTCCCACCCCCCAGTATGTAAACATTTCTTCCAGTGAACTCTTTTCATCATCCAACCTATGTTAGGTAGAAGGCACAAATTCAGAATATCAAAAGTACTGGCCTTACTTTTTGTAAGTCTTACAATTAAAATAGAAAGAGCAAACCAAGGAACACAATGTAGCATATCTACATCTGCCAGCTAAAATTCAATTCAAGAAATATTTATGAGACACTCGAGTTATAAAACGCATACAAAGACTGTTTCTATGCTCTAAGAACTTACCATCTAGCAGCAGAGACAAAAACAAGTCTATAAATCACTACATATGAGGTAGAATGTGTAAATGCCCTGTGAGTTTTACAAGTGTAACATGACTAAAAGGTTCAGAGGCTTATTATTAATAATATATATTTAACAAATATATGACATGTATGTAATATATCTATTGTATATAAAAGGTATATATAAAAATATAAATTGGATTTGTTTGTATGTTTGTACATATGTGTATGTGAAGATTCCATGTATATAGTCATTTCAGGAAATTGGAATAAAAAATTAAAGAGAAGGAAGAAGCCTGATTGGGGCCCCCAAACTTTCTTTTTGGTTTTTTTTTCATCATCCCCTCTGCCATTTATTTGCTTGGGAGACTAAAGGTCCTTAGAGAACTGGAGGGCTGATGGAAATCAATCGTATCTCAGATCCAAACACTCCTTATCAAATTTTTTGGCAGAAATCCTTGACACTGGTTATAATGACAATCTAACTTTCAAGAGATTTTTAGCACAGAGAATTTGGTATTAGGGAACTAGAGTTAGTGGTTTAAAAAACATTAAATATTTGTGAGTTCTACTTAGTTGGCTATGTCCTGAAAATTCTAGGCTTCCAATGAGTAAGACTCTGCCTTTGGACAGAAAAGCCACACACAGCTAAGTCTCTGGACACTCACAGATGTCTTTCTTTATAGAAAAAGGGTTTTTAAAGTTTCAGTGTCATGGACCTCTGGCAACTGTCGAAGCCTATGACCGCTTCTCAGAGCAAATCTCTCCCTACTCTAATCTATCCTTCATTTAGTTGTCATAGTGATCTTCCTAAATCACAGGTTTAACCATGTTACTCTCCCAACTTCTGGGCAACTAGGTGGTGAAGTAGATAGAGTGCTGGATCTGGAGTCAGGAAGATTCCTTACTTCCAATCTGACCTCAAACACTTACTAGCTGTGTGACCCAAGGAAAGTCACTTAACACCTTTCACCTCAGATTCCTCATCTGTAAAGTGAGCTGTAGAAGGAAATGGTAAACCACTCTAGTATCTTCATCAAGATAATCCAAAATGGGGTCACCAAGAGACAGACACAACTGGAAAATGACTAAACAGAAAGCTATTAGAAAGATCAACTTTGGATTGAGGCTAATTAGTATGAGCCTCTTGTGCAGATTGCTTATCTCTAGTTCTTAATATTGTTATCTATAATGAAAGACCTTAGCTTAAAAGGGTCAAAGTCTCTCACTGTATCTGGGGTCATCTCCAGTTGTCCTGACCTATGCTTTGCAACTGAACTCAGATAACTCTGGAGGACAGAGTGAGGCTGATGACTTAGCACAACCCTACCTCACTTAAATCCAATTCATTTGCAAGTCAGCACATCGTGCTCCTGGTATCTATTGGTCTTCTTCAAGAACAAAGAAGAAACAACAATAACAATAGGTAATATTGCATTTCTTCAATGGACATCAATTCCTATGAATATTAAAAGCAACTGATATTTATGCTGGAAAATTGCAAGAACAACAAAAAGTTGAACATAGATTGTGTGTTCAAAGGTTCAACCTTAAGGTTAATACCAAGAGTGAGGTATGAAAAGAAAGCCTGTCTCCACAAGTTCAGAGCGTTCTGTTTTCTTTGTGACCTTACTACAAGTGTTTTTCTCTTCCTGATGTTGTTATGAAATGTTTCTCTTCTGGTGGATCTGCCCACACTGATCCCAATTGCTTTTATCAGTGAACAGGCAGGAACCATCGGCCAGTTCCCGTTCTATGATGTGACTATTTTATGTTGAGTTTTTGAAATATAGCTGCATTTTATATTTTCCCTATATAGCATAATTTTAAAAGTACATCTTAAAAAAGCATATTTTTCACTTCTTTCTCAACATCTAAGTTCACAGGCTCACAGAATTGTAGGAATTCAAATTTGTAAGGGACTAACAAATCTCCATACAATCTTTGCTTGAATACCATCAAGGAAGTGGTTCACACTTCTTCCTGTGACAGACCAGTTCACTTTTGGAAAGCATTAATTGTTAGGAAGTTTTTTCTTACATTATATGAATGTTATACTTCACTTGCCTCATTGCAAAGTCAACCCACAGTATTTATTTCTGCCTTTTGGAGTCAAAATAAGTGGGTTTGAACTATACCTCTAGTGACCTAGAACAATCTGACTTTGAGCAATTTCACTCAACCTCACTGAGCCTCAATTCCCCATCTGCAAAATAAGGAAATTAGACTAGATAACCCTGAATGTCTGTTCTTCCAGCTGAAAATGTCAAGGTCTATGATTTTGTAACATCCAATCCTTCTTCCACATGACAGGGATTCATACCTAATACAAGTCTACTATCTTATCTTCCCTTATCTGATTGTTTCTTGTTCAAGGGCTTTTTAATCTGGGCTCATGAATTTGTTGTTGTTTTATGTTCTGATAACTCTGTTTTACTATGATTGGTTTCTTTTGTAAGTATATATATTATCTGATGCATTTTAAAAAAATTATTCTGAGAAGGGATCCATAGGCTTTACCAGACTGTCAAAGGGGTCCATGACACCAAAAAGGTTAAGAATTTTTACCCTAGTTTCTTTAATAAATCCTCATAAACAATGAACACAAGCTCCATTCTGGCTGTACTCTTACCAAAACTTTCTAGTTAGTCAATTCTTTTCTACAATATGGAGTTCAAAACAGAACAGTCATCTAGAAGATGTCTGACCAGGGCAGATTACAGTGGAACAATCATTCCTAGATGCTGTGCCTCTCTTGATGCAGCCTGAAATAGCAATGGTTTTTCCTCTCTGCATAGTATCAACTCACGTTGCCCTTTCGCCACTAAAACCTTGGAGCTTCTAATTTGGAAGCTGACCTTTGGAGGCCAGTTACAAAACTTTAACTTTTATCCTATTTGATTTGGTGCAGTGACTCACGCTGTTAAGAACTTTTTTGATTCTTTGTTCAGGATCTGCTACTCTATGCAAGTTATTTTTCCTAGATTTATGTCATCCATATACTTAATTAGAATATACAATTTACTGCTAAACATGTTAAAAGTGGAGGGCCAAGCACAGATCCCTGACTCACTCTTCTGGAGAATTCTTTCCAAGTTGCCTTGTAAACATCATTTACTAAGCTTTGAGTCTAGCCATTTAACTAGCTCCCAATACACCTAATTTTATATATTGTTTAACCCACATCTATCTCCTCCACAGGAGTAGATTTAGAAACTTCATCAAATGTTTTGCCAAAATTTAGCTTAACCTCTATCACATTGTTCTAAGTTTGGTAATCCTATCAAAAAAGGAAATGAAGCCAAGAGCACTATTTGTGATCCTTCAAGGCCACTGATCTATACAGTATTCTTTTAGTATCCAAGAATGTGGTTAATCTGGGTGAGATAACACAGGTAATTTTGATAACATGAAATACAAAGGTTTTTACACAACAAAAGCAATATACTTAGGATGAGAAAGGAAGTAGTAAACAGGGAAAAAATATCTTTGTATCAAATTTGAACTCATCAAGAGTACCTCAATGCTTTCTTAATATCTCCTTATGTATCTTGGGCATTGGATCCACATTAGTCATGTTTATTCAGTTTTTTTTTTCATTTCATTTCAAATAGGTTTCTCTTTGGCAGAGAAGCAGAAAAAGAATGAGCAACTCTGCCTTTGCTTCATCATTAATATCATAGTTCCAGCCACCGAAGTAGAACTCTCACCAGTTTTTTTTAAAATCCACTTTCCCTACTAAAAGAATTGGTGGATAGGATTGCTGAACCAATCAATAATATTTTCAAGACAGTGGCGAATGAGAGAGGTATCCTAAAATTGGTGGACAAATGTGATGATTTTCAAAAAGGGGTAAAGAATAGAGTCTGCATTTAGCTTTACAAAAAAACCCAAAATTTCTCTTTTCATTATCTTTACCAATCCTTAACACCTTCAGCTTATTCTGAGATTTAGCAAATCCTGACACTATTTTTTTCAGATCATGCATTTTTTTATTCTTTCCTCCTATTTCCTGCTCTTGTTCCTATAGTCTCAACATATTTGCTTAAAAAAAACTTAACTCATCAGTGAATTTTCTGTTTATTCATATTACTCTATACAATTATCCTTTTTTCTTCCTCATCAAAATTGTTACTTTTTGTATTATCAAAAATTTCATTTTGAATGGTTCCCATCCTTCTTAGGTCTACTTTTCCACAAGGAATTCTAGTTCTTGAGATCCTATTCTTCCCCCTTAATGCTTTAAAATTGTCTGTTACATAAACAAGAGCATATGTCACAATATTTCTGATTTTTCTATTTTTCTCTGTCACAAACTCAAAGATAGAAGAGTCACTTCCCATCATGTCCACCTCAGCAACAAGGTTTTCCCTGCTGTTGAAAAGAATAGCCATAATTGAATTTCTCCTGGCTATTTTCTTCTACCTTTTGAAGGATGAAATTAAGATGAATTAAGATATAATTACCTGTTCTACTTTTGACAGAACTGAGGTACCAAGAGATGTCTGAATAAATGAAGTTAATTTAAAACATATTATTTATCAACTTCCAAAACAGTCTAATCATTCATTCTTTCCTATTTTATGGGAAAAATCATATCATCATTATGTATCATTATGTATCATATTTATATATCATAATTATGTATCAAAATACATAATCAACAAGTTTATCTTAGAATAAGATTATTGAACCGAATACATAGACGGATTTATAGTGTAACATTTCCTTGATTACTACTGTAAGTCAAGCTTAATGGAGTCTAATTTTGCGTTTGGGTCTGCAGTGTCCAGCACACCCTGAAAAGACCTTTTCCTAGTATGGGGATGTAGCAGGGTATACTGAAGGAAGAAACCTTACTTGCCTTGAATCATAAGAGGTCTTTGGGAAGTAGAGATATCTATGTTTTGTTTTGTTTGGTATTTTCTTTTTTCGGTAGCAAAAAGTTCATAAATCTGAAAGACTGATTATGCAAGAAGATAATAGACATAATGATTATAAAGTGAAAGTAAAATAATGAAAATTACTATACTACCTAAGTAAATATACACTTACAATGCTATCCAATCAAACCACCTAAAGGATACTTTATGATGGTAGAAACCATAACAGAATAATTTGAAAGAGCAGCAAAAATTCTTGAATGTCAATGGAAATGATGAAAAAGTAGAATTGAAGGTGGAAGAGCACTACTTACCTCATTTATTATAAAGCAGCAATAACCAAAACAATTTGCTATTGCCTAAAAAATAGGAGAGCAAATCAATGGAATAAGACTAGTCAAGATGGAATGAGAAATAAGGGAACTCAATAGTCCAGAGTTCCATAACTCTAAAACCATAAAATTCTGACTAACCAGAGGACTCCCTATAAGATGATGTCTGATGGGAAAACAGAAAATCAGTCTGGAAAAAAAATAGGGTTAGATCAACATATTCAATGAGAAATTCAAAACAGATATGATACTTAAATATTAAAGATTAAGGAATAAAAATTTGATCCCAAGATTAAATCTCTATGTATGCTCCTGCTATGCTCTCTGACCTCTAGAATGTTGCTTCATTAAACACCTCTTTCTCTTTCATTTTTCATTTCTTCTACTTTATTTGATCTTTCAATAGTTACCCATTTCACCGATTGCCTCCCTTTTTCTACTTTTTATTAATAAACTCTTAGAACAGTTAGCCCACATGAGTTGTCTCTGCTTTCTCACCTACCACTTCATCCTCAATTCCTTAAAATCTGACTTCTTTCTCCAATGTTCAAGTGAAACTGGTCTCTCCACTGTCCCTAATCTTTACAGGTTATGGTACTTTCCTCAGGCTAAGACTGAAAAGCTAAGCTCTCTCAGTGCTTCATTGATTGTTTGGCTTTGATTATCCCTGGATTTAATCAAAAGAGAAAAATAGAGAAATTACACTATATGTCAGCCATATTAATCAATATTATTTTAGACTATTTAAAATAACTAGATAGTATAAAGTTGGAATATTGTTGTGGTGTAGGAAATGATGAGTTGATGGACTAGAAAAACATGGAAAGATTTGAACTTATGAAGGAAGATGTTATCCACACTCAGAGAAACAGAGGACAAAGAAGTATAGTATGGTCTTAGTAGATGCACGTGAATGTATACTTATATATGAGTATGATTATAGATATGTTATGTATATACATATATGTATGTGTATGTAACCAGAACGATTGCATGATTTTCTCCATCTTTCTGGGTGTGATCTAAAGCTGAGACTTGGCTGGGCATAATAGGTGATATAGTAGAAGGGCTCAAAAGAGGAGGTCAGTGTAGAGTTAAATTGGTTCACCAAGGAGTCAAGAGAGAGAGAGAAGACGAGAGAATATCTAGTACAGAAGAGATGACCTGAAAGATTAGTGAGGGATCAAGTGATTAGAGATCATGGTGTAGACAAATAGTAGAGTTTTGTAAGGGAAGGCAGAGGGAGAGGTGAAAAGCCTATGGATTATAGTCAGATAAGGGCTTTTCAGAATTCTTGAATATTGAAGTGGTACATTTGTGGATGATGGAAAGACTGAGGGTACGACTACCTTTGTGTGTGGCTGAGGTGGGGTGGATGAGTAGCTTATCCACTATGCCAAGCTGGAGAAATTCATTCTACAAAATTCTACAAAAATTAAGCCCCTAGAGTTTTGCTAAGAAAATGCTAATGGATTAAGACCAACACATGGGATAACCTTTAATAAGGTCAGCTCTGGGAATAA